AGGGTCTAGGTTCCCTTGGAAACATGGTGACAGCCCCTCTTCAGATTGTCCTCTGAGGTCTCTATGGGCTCTCTGATCAAAAGGATGGGTGATTTTATAAAGTTTTGGGAGCCTTTTAGGGGCCTCCCATTTTCCCTTGGGGATTGGCTTAACTGGGGAGCGTAGGGAACAATACTGACAACCTTCTTAAAGCCCCTAGTCTTCGCCCTCAACGTTTGGTTGTTGAATGTCGAGGTTGGTGTCAGCAGTTGGTGTCAGCAGTAGGAGCTAGTGGCTTTGATTTTTACTTTTGATTAAAATCTAGATGAAGCTTAGACACACGGCATCTCAGCTTTTAGATGCTCACGGTTTTAGGTATCTGTAGCACTAAATATACCGTGACCACCTAAAGTAAGTTATTTACCTAACCAGAGGTTTTGGTTCTGTTTTTATAGTTTTGGATTTGGAGACAGGGTTTCTCTGGGTAGCCCTGGCTGTCCTGGAACTTTGTAGACCAGGCTGGCCTCGAACTCAGAGATCCACCTACCTAACAAGAGTTTAAAGTGGTCGTTTAAAAGACTTTATGGGCTGGAGAGATGGCTTAGTGGTTAAGAGTACGTGCTATCTTCGTGGAGGATCTGAATTCAGTTCCTAGTACACACTGGCAGCTAGCTAACCACAGAGTGTAACTTCAGCTGCACAGATCTAACAGGCACTTAGGTGCACACACCTACACAGACATGGGGGCACACACATAGTTAAAAACAGAGAAAATCTTTAAAAAAATAATAAAAACTTGGCCAGGTGCAGTAGCACATGCCTTTGATTCCAGCAGTCAGAGGGCAGAGGCTGTTTGATTCCAACAGTCAGAGGGCAGAGGCTGGCAGATTTTTGTAACTTCAATACTGTCCTGGTCTACATAAGGGAGTTCCAGGCTAGCCATGGCTACATAACGAGATCGCTCTCAATAATTAAATAAACAGTAAATAAATAAAAAAACCTTTACAAACAGATACCATTAAGAACAATTAAAATATTAAGAAAAACTTTTAAAAATTCTTAAGCAGAATTAGATTTCAGATTTACATTAAAACAGTAAGTTTTGGCCTTCTGTGAAAAAAAAAAAATTTAATTATAGCTAACTTAAACGTAACTATACCAGAGTTTTTCTTTTGTTTTTTTTTGTGGTTTTTTTTTTTTAGAGACCAACATTTAAAAAAAGATTTATTTATTTATTTATTTATATAAGCACGCTGTAGCTGTCTTCATGCACACCAGAAGGGGGCATTGGATTCCATTACGGATGGTGTGAGCCACCGTGTGGTGCCAGTAATCTCTGAGCAGGACCCCAAGAGTGGCCTATGTAACTGAACTTCTCAGAAAGGCAATAAAGGCTATGCCCATGTTAGCGGTGCTACAGGGCTGATTGGTTGGAGAAGTGGTGGAGAACAGAATGGTGCAACTCCAGAGAGCCTTCCTAGCTCTCCTGTGCCCGACCTAACGCCCTTCAGACTGTCAGGTGAAATCTTTTGGGTTAAGTTAGCAGATGGTTAGTTTCCACTATCTCCAAAGCTAAGGTCATCATCTCGAAGAGATGCCCTCACGGCGTTGAGGCTGCCTACCTGATGTTCCCAGCAGTGCATTTAAAAATGTGTCTTAATTTATGACCTTCATTTGTTCTGTAAAATCATCATAAAACCAGCTTTATTTAAAGCAAGCTCTTCAGGGCAATGCGAACTGTCATTCTGGGGACATAGTCACTCAAATTTCACTCAAGAAGAGATTATCTGTCTGCCAGGATTTGAGGCACACACCTGTAATCCCAGCATTGGAGAGGCTGAGGCAGGAGGCTCACTGAGGGCTAAACACCATCGAGTGTCAGGCCAGCAGTGGTGTATATCAAAACTCTGTCTCAACAAGCCCACCCCACCCCCCAAAACTCCCCAACAATCTTTTACTCCTTTCGAGGTGAGAACTGTGCGGTACTTTGAGAAGGAGGTGGGAAGGGGAACTCTGATATGGTTCACCCTCCTCTCTACATCCCACGCCAGAACTTTCCTGGCACCTCTGGGGTTTAATCCCTGAGAGTCCAGGAAATCTGGGAACATGGTCTGTAATGAACAGAATATAAGCTAATGTGTGCATTAAAGCCTATAACTACTTGTAACGGTGGAGGTGGCTTCTGGGAGACTCAAACAAAGGAAACAGTACAAAGCAACAACAACAACATAGTGCTCTCCATATTTTGCTGGCACAGAGGACTAGTTGAGAACATCAAAGTACAGTCCAGGGCACTATGAGTCTATTCTTTTTCTGTCAGGACAAAGGTGAGGGTTTGGAGTTTCACAGACAGTGCCTAAGAAAGGCTAGGACTTGCCCGTGACCCAGTGTCATTCCTATTATGTCCAGAAGTACAGCTCAGTGCTCTACTGGAAAACAGCAACGGACCCAGCAAGGGGAAAGAAGGGTGCCTCTGTGTGTGTGTGTGTGTGTCAGGCGAGGAGCCCTGATACCTTTCTTACCCGTGCCATTAGAGCACATTCAACCTTCCTAAGGCTCCGACCCTTCAATACAGCTCCTCATCTGGTGGACTCCCAACCATCACTACTACTTTGTAACTGTAATTTGGCTACTATCATAAATCATAATGTAAATATCTGTATTTTCCAATGGTCTTAGGTGACCCCTGTGAAAAGTTCATTCAACCTCCAAAGGGGTTGCATCCCCTCGGTTGAGAACATTAGAGACTTACTCACTGGGAAATGAAGAGAGTGAGGAAGGAAGAAAGGGTAGAAAGATGGGACCCCGGAGTCAAGAGAAGAGTGAAACAGCGCTGTTTTCCCTGTCTTTGCTCACTGAGCCGGACTGCCTGGGCCCTGGAATCACTCCGTCTCTCAATCTGGCAAGGCTAGAACGGAGCCAGTCCCTTAGAGCTCAGAAGGAAAGCAGAATCCTGCAGGCATTCTGGTCTGGCCCTAGTGGTCCTGCCTACCCACAGCAGGAGAAAGCATCCTGCACAGAGAGGGGCTGGTGAGGCTGCCCTGACGGAACGTCAGGAACCTCCTGAGGCCACCCCACAACTCAGGCTCAAAGGTGTGGAAGTGAAGATTTATTTCAAAGAGAAACACATTTGTTTCCTTTAAGAGCTTGTACTCAAAGGTGCCCACTGATGAATCTATTGTGATGGTTGACTTGCCTATCAACCTAAGAGGAACTAGCATCATCTGCCATTTGTGCTGCCTCAGGCATGATGGTGCTGTCATCCAAGTTAGGAAGGCCCACATCACCTGGGTGGCATTCCCCTGCATGGGGTCCTGAACTGAATAAACAAGGAGAAACAGAGAAAAGAACTGTAAATATAACTTTTATTCTTCTGAAGTAATTGTTGTCGCTTGCTGCCTGAGTCTGCTAGCCTAGGCCTAGTCCTGGAAGCCTCTCACCTCTGTACAACCTAACCTAGGCCTAGAAAGTTTTCAGCCTCTGAGACCTACTGCAGAAGAAGCTCACCCCCTTTTTAGTTCTTTCTGAACTCTGGCTGGTTCAACTCAGCTGTTCTGGCTCAAACTCCTCTTCCAGCTGACTGATTCAGACCAACTTCTCTTTCAGGCTCTGACCAAACTGCTCTGCTTGGCTTCATACTAACTCTGGCAATCTGTTCTAATCTTCTGGCTCCTTCTCATTCTCTGGCTCATTCTGTCTTCACCTGTGTCTAGCTTGTTCTCTCTCTCTCTGCAGCCTGTCTCTGTAACTGTAAAACTGTCCCAGTAAAACTGCCTCTCTCTCTTACTTTCTCTCTTTGCACTGCTCTCTCTTAAGTCACCCCCTTTTTCTCTGTTCTTGTGAGAATTGGGCGTGTCCTATTCTGTCAAATCTTTCTCTGATTTGTGACTTTATCTGCCACTCACAAACATGAGTGCTTCCTTCTACTAACTAACTTTACCTTCACTGTTTGGGATTAAATAAGGACACATCTGTATCCCACCCAGAGGGATTAAAAGTGTGTGCTAAGGTTGAGCCACACCACAACTAGAGAAAGTGTTTCTCAGGAAATAACACACTCTTGAGGTTCACAGTGTGATAAAATATCCTGCAACAAAAAACTGGCATCCAGCTCTATAATTCCTGGACTGCAGATGCAACGTGACCAGCTACCTCAAACAGTCCCTTCTATATTGTCTTTGTCAGGGCATTTTGTCACAACAGAGAAGTAACAAAAATTCCCATGTTTATCCAGCAAGACACTGAGAAGCTACCTGGCTCCGTGTGGGCTTAGGTCTAGTTCACAATGGCAGCACCAGCCATGGAACGTTGATTCTGCAAGCATATAGAGTGAAAGATATGTGTGGAGTAACTGGGGCTTCCACCCACATTCCAAAGGAAAAGCTAGGAGTCCAGGGCGTGTACAAAGATCACCATGCTTGCAGGTAGTCTCCTGCAGAATGATGGCATGAACCTGCAGGAAGGAAGGCAAAGCGACCAAAGATACCACAGGCATGTAGACTGCCTAGAACATGGGACACATAGTAAACTACAGGCAGAGAACAGATCCAGCCCAAGAGAGTGACTGTGTGCCATAGAAAGAGCAGACCCAGGATATGGGGTCGACAGCTTGTCTTACTACACCTCACATGCTGTACATGGGGTGATAGGATTTAGTGTCTTCCCTCAAGGCTTTGTCTTGTTTGAGTCTGATTACTTTTTATTTCCCTGTGGGAGGAGGTGTTAATGTCTTGCCATCATAGTTTGAAAGTATGTAACTTTTTTTTTTTTGATCTTCTTAAAGATGGAGTCTTGCTGTGTTTCAGGCTGGCCTGAAACTTGTGCTACCATGAGCTACCAAAAGCTTGTGTCTACAAGTTTGCCTTGAGTCACAGAGACTCAAGACGTCTGAGCAAACGCTTCTGGTGTTTGAGACTTATGATAAAGTAAGACAGAATTTTGCACCTGATTCTGTTTTACTGGATGAATTGTGGACCAATCATTATTTTATACATGTATATGAAAAAACACTGTAAAGTAACTTTGTCCCAATTTTAAACGATTGTTTATTGTAAGGTATATCCTGATTTCAGATGTGTAAAAGTAGGAATCCATCCATCTTAGCATTCAAGTCTGCACTGAAATAGTATATTTCTTAAGAGTATTAAACATTAAGCACATTAAATGGCGCATGTGATCAGTATCAAATTGTCAATTAAGGTTTTTATCATCTTTGTTTCATTTTACATTTGCAGTGAAGAGTAGGTTAGAGGCTACGTTAGTTTCTAGGAGACATCTTACAAAAACTTTATGATGCATAGCTTTTTAGTTTGGGAATCATCTTATCTTCAGACCTTATGTGACCTAGAGGCTACACTCAGCCTCCAGGAGGACCATGTTGTCTTGGCAGGCTGTGACCCAGGTCTACAGTAGTTATAGAACATCGGCCTCTTAGGAGAAAGATTACGCTAACACTTGGTGGAGTGTGAGTGGGTGGTCACTGCCGAGAAAACTCATCTGATTGTGACACAGAGTCCCCACAGCTTCCCAACCTCCTCTGCCTTCTTCATAGGCTCAGAAGGACGGGGACCACAAATGCTACCTAATTATTCATCTGCAAAAACAGGAGTCTTCTAGTGAGATCTTACTAGTTGAGACCATTTGGTAGTTTATGGAGGACTGAGTATCACAGAACATTTCTAAATTTTCTAGCATTCTCTCCAAATAGGCCCAGAAAGTTGGGTTACCAATAGGTTTTGGAAAATCTTCACTTTCCAGTTGATTGAACTTGCTATTTGTAAAGTTGCTAAGTGGCTCACCCTCTCTCGATCTCAGCATGTGTCCCTTTTGTCCAGGTGTGTTGCAGGGGGATTGCCTTTACTAACTGCAGAGAACTCAGTAGAAAGGCCCTTTTGTGGGCTCCAACACGACGTTTCCAGATGTCTCCATCACACATGGCCTCGTGGACACTACTACAACTTCAAAGTCTGTTTCATTACCTTTTTAAAAAAAAAAAAAATGTTCTTGTGTAGTCTCTTCCTCACAGCCTAGAACTAGTAGGCAAAGCTTTCTGGTCCTCGCTCTTCCTTCTTCCTTTGTGCTGGCGTTGCAGGGGTAAGGTGGCTAATTTATACATCACAGGAAATAAAACAGCCGTGAATATGGCTGAGCCCAGACATGTGTAGAGAACCACTGGCAGATCTGGGTAGTATTCTTGAAGAATTCCGATGACTGCAGGAATGGCCATGTCTCCCAGAGAAGCACCAATTACAAAGAATGCCGCGGACTTCCCAGTTAAGGTGGTATATTGCTCAATCCAGGAGATGCCGCTGGGAAACGTGGTTGCCATGGAGGCTCCATACACAGACGTTGCGATCCAGAGACAGAGAGAATTCTTATCAAAAAGCACCAGAAAGAAAGACGAGGCCAGGCTGCCAATGTTGCTCAGAACAATCATGGTTGCAGGCTTTAAGAATGTCGCAAAGAAGATGGCCAGACCCCTGCAGGCTGCAAAGGTCCCCCAGAAGATGGAGTTCAAGCCAGCTGCCTCGCTCTCTTCCATGCCAACATGGGTGGTGGCGAAAGAGAATACATAAGAGCCGTAGGTCACCTCGGCTCCCACATAGAAGAAGAAGAAGAGGAAGAGGAGGCATAGCAGGGCCCTGTGATATTTAGCCCTTCGAGCTCCCTGAGCAGATGCTGAGGACTTTTTCTGCTTTGAGCTTTTCTTACAAAACAGGCCAAACAGAAAGACAGAAACTACTAAAATATAGGTGCCAATAGAAGCATATGCCCACAGCAGATTCATGTCATCGGGTACCGCGAACACAGAGTCTGAGGAGGCTTTGGAGGATCGGTTCAGCATTAGAGGGTCAAAGTCAGACTCGGTGTGGTTCTGAGCAGATGCTGTGGTATCCCAAGCCAACTTAGCCAGCAGGGGAGCCAGAACAGCACCCAAGGCAAAACTGAAGTGCAAGGCCTGCATGTGTGGGGCTCCTTTGTCCCCCCAAAGAGCCAAGATGAGGACATTTGCACCTGCCAACAAAACATGGGGAATAAAGTTAAATTGTCACCTCATGTGTGAACAACCCCCACAAGCCGTTACTATGACAAAGAGGCTTAGCCTGTGTCATCGGGCATGAATGCTATGACATTCTAAGTAACCCAACGTTGGCCTCAAGTGATGCTGACCCATGGACTCCAGATGACTATATGTTGTAATATCTCAGTCTCATACACGGAATGCTACAAGCTGGTGAACCACGACCCGTTGGAGCCGGGCACACTAGCAAAGGGCTGTTAAAACACCACACTGGAGAGCAATATGGTAGCACTGGAAATGTTTGAAATGTATGTGTTTATCAGGCAAAGTTTTATCATCAGATTGGCCAATTGACAAAACATTCTGGCAACCACCTGAACCTTGTGGATGAAATAAATGTAAAAGGCTCCATCAGGAACCCGACTGCTCTGAGCTTTGCTGTTCCAGTTACAGGAGACAGGCACCCCTTCAGAATCCACACAACACTGTCTAAATACCTGTGAGGGAAAAGCCCCAAAGCATCAAGCCTTTGGCTATTTTATTTTAACCAGATACTTTGAGATAAGCATGTAACCTTGCAACCAATGAAAGCTGAGCTACAAGACACTGCATGATTCATCAGATAATGTTAGATCCTCAAAGGGCACTGCAGCCCAGAAGTGAGTGGATCAGTGCCTTGCCCAGCCATTGTCAGAGATGCTTCTTCCTGCAGCACATGGGAGCACACACAGACATCCACAGTCAGACATCACACACATGCACACCACACACATGCATACACAGACAGACACAGAGAGACAGGCAGATGGTCAGACATCACACACACATACACACTCACATACACAAATATACAAACAGACAGACACAGAGAGACAGACAGTCAGACATCACACACACATGCACACCACACACACATACACAGACAGACACACACACACATGCACATGTGCACACTCATACACAGACAGACACAGACAGACAGACAGACACACACACACACACACACATACACATGCACACCACACACACAAGCATATACACATATACACACTCTCACATCTTGGAACATTCAGCCCTAAACTTGATGTGTCTATCAAATCCCTCCCCTCAGAGCTCAGGGACACATGGAGAGGAGGCAGAAAGAGTGTAAGAGCCCGAGGGGACGGAGGACACCAAGAAAGCAGGACCTCTAAATCAACATGGTCAAAGCACACAGGAACTCAGAGAGCCCGAGGCAGCGTGTGCTGGGTCAGGGCCTTCTCGAATATATTATGGCTTCCAGATTAGTCTTTTTATGGGATGCCTGAGTGTGAGCGAGGCCGTCTCTGTGCCTGAGAGTGTGAGCGAGGGCGTCTCTGTTCCTGGGAGTGTGAGCGAGGGCGTCTCTGTTCCTGGGAGTGTGAGCGAGGGCGTCTCTGTTCCTGGGAGTGTGAGCGAGGCCGTCTCTGTGCCTGAGAGTGTGAGCGAGGCCGTCTCTGTTTCTTGTGCCTTAACTCGGGCTCTTTCCCTTCTGTTTGTTCGTTTTTGTCTAATTTCAAAGTGTAGGGTTTTTTGTTTTATCTTGTATTTTATTATTATCTGTTAGAAGCCTGTTCTTTTCTAACGAGAGACAGGAAAGGAGTGGATCTGGATGGGAGGGAGGAACGGGGAGGAGTGGAGGGAGGGGGGAGGGTAGAAAAAAATCCTTCAGTAAAAGGAAAGAGAGGGGGGATCAAGAGAGGGCTGGTGAGCAGGAACTGAAAGAGAGCCGGCATCACGTGTGCCACTTTGTAGGGTTTCAAATAGCTATTGGCATATAGAAAACCTATACCTTTGAAGATTTAGAACGTCTAGGAGAAATTAACAGGGAAGTAAGAAGTATCACAGAGTTCAGTTTCCTCTTGGCTCAGAAAACAGGGTGTACTTTAGCTGTGTGTCTGCTTCTGCGCTTTCTTAGCCAAATGCTGGTCCATGCTTGCTTTTAACCGTCAATTCCTCTTACTTGACAGTGATAAAATTGAACCCCAAATGAAAGCCCATTTCACCTGCACTGCCAACCACAGACGAGGGTTTTTTTATGTTTAGCCCCTGTAACTCAGTCTCTCTTAAAACAAAGGCATGAAGTCCAATTGTATAGTTGACTGTTCAAAAATTAATCCCCAAATCAGCACAAAGTGCAGCTGCTACAAGGGCGTACTGTCTGAGTGACCCCATGACCAAGTCAGAAAGTCTGTGTCATTTCAAAAGTATGCAGGGACAGTCGGCATCACCTGAGGGATTTTCTAGTTGAGTTCCCAGCCCCAGAGATGATGTCACATACCCGTATCCAAAACACCAACAGAAGCTCCAAAGACACACATGGTGGTGATCAGCAAGACTACTGTCTTGCAGAACGGGATGAGATAAAGGCCCACTGCAGTTGCCACCATCGACGCTCCTGGGAAGAAAGGAGGAAGTCCAGTTATAGGAGCTGGCATTGTAACTCAGTAGCAGAAGGCTTGTGTAGCATGCATGAGCCCCTGGGCTAGATTCCCCACTGCAAAAATAAACGTTCGTATTAAAAAATAAGAATAAGCTATAAAAACCTGTACCCCTCAGGATCATTAAAAACATGTAAGTACACAAAAAATAAGACTGAATTAACACAGAGTCGAAGCTTCTACAGTGGTTATGTAAAATCATGTAAATTCTACAAGGCTTTTTGTAATCTAAGATACAAGTTACTGTGACTTAAACACAATTATAGGACTGTTAATGATCATAATAAGTTATACAGCAAAGTTTAATAGCAAAGGAGACAGGCCAGGAATTATGTACTTACTGTTATACATGTAAGAATACAGGAGAGTTTTTAGACGTTAGTTAACAATGCTTTCAGTGAAAAGTTCTGGTTACATGGTCCTAAAATTAATTAGCTTTGGAGAATAAGGAGGGAAATATAAAAAGGGCCAGTTATTTATTCATCAGGAGTAACTTATTTTCCTTGTTTTATGTCTATTTTCCTTAGTTATGTCAATTTATTGGGAAAATTATGCTAAGAGCTTCGCTATCTTTTCAGGGTGCGGAAGTTTCATTTGTGACACTGGGCAACAGAGATAAAAACAGTCTATATCATGTCTCTCACATCCCCCTGCCCCTTCGTGTTCAATCCGGAATCCACAGAATCAGCGCCTTCCACCCCCAACCCCGCGTTGCCCCAGAAGCCCCGCCTCCACCCTCCCAGATAAGCAGAGCTTCACACAGGCCCCTGGAGTGGAGCCTGAATCACAGTAAAGGTCTGCATTGCTCAGGGTTGCCCACACTCATTCCCGGGGGCCCATCGAGTTTCCGGGGGATCCGTAGACACTCCTGCTGCCAAGAACAGGGACTCTAGACTTTCCAGGGGGCAACACCTCGCCTCACCCACATCTGTTGTCAAGCATTCTGCAGGCTGTGCACACATAGGGACTAAGGTGTAAAGTCGCGACAGACATGGAACAACAAAGGTTGGCGTTTACTCACCCAAAAGAAAGAACTGATTCATGTGGTCAAAGAGAACCCCGCCAATCATGCTGCCACACAAGAACCCAGAGGCGCGGCCCACAAATATCAGAGACAGGCTGCTGATGTTCCTGTTCACGTTCCTTGCCAAGTCTGGAAAGGTGGGCCCCAGGATAGCAACACTCAGTCCCTGAAATTTAAAACAACCCTTTTTAATTACAGTAACTGAGTGTCTAAAGAGAGCGGTAACAGATTGTTCTGTCATTGAGTGGCGGGAAGGAAGACTGCGGTTGCTTTTGAGATCTGCACTTCAGGAAAATCTACAAAGGCAAAAAATTATTGCGAGAACAATATGATCCTTTGGGTTTTATCTATGTACAGCCTTCAATTTTAAGACTTTATACAGTTATTTTGAGATGGGGTTTTTGTAGCCCCAGCTGCCCTCAGTCCCAGTGTATCCAACCAACCACGGCCCTGAACTCCTGACCCTCTGTCCCCACCTCGGAAGCACTGAGTTTACAGGTGTGGACCTCCATTCCTAACATAAAAATTATATAATTATTCCGGTTTTTTTTCTTAAAGTGTTATTCCGTATGACATAGTCATGAAACAGTTTTGCATATTTTCAAATGTACTCTATGCAGATGTTAACCTGGCCTAAAGGCGAGGTGTACAAGCCTAGCAGCTCGGGTGGCTGACACAGAGGGTACAGAATCCAGGACCTGCCTGGTCTAGCATGAGTTCGAGATTAGCCTGAGATCTAGAATTCACGTTTAGAAAGCTGGGCCTCAGCATGTGTGCTTGCAGCCGCAGAGCTGCCTTGCTGGCCAGCCAGCCTTAGCCTTATTGTTGACTTCCAAGCCAGGGGAGATACTTGTCTCAGAATATGAGGTAGACAGCATCTGAGCAGAAAAATTTAAAACTGTAATGAATTCAAGACTGGGTAGAGAGATGGCTCAGGGGTTAAGAGCATTAGCTGCTCTTCCAGAGGACACAGCATCAGTTCCCAGCACATGTCACAGTGGGCAACTCATGATTGCCTGAAACTCCAGCTCCGGAGGGAGTCACACCTCTAGCTTCTACAGGCACCTGCACTCACATGCACACACCCACATGTGCACACACATAGGCATAATTTAAAAGTCGTTAAAAGTTAAATTTTAATTAATGTGTGAAACTAAAATTAGCAAAACCAAGAAGCCTACAAGAAGGATACGGTGCATTTTAGTCAGGAAAGACTAGAATGCATCTTGCTGATGCTTTTTTAAAGGGGATTTTTGTACTAAAGCAGGGTAATCAGTTCAAAAATAGGAGGAGGAAATGGGGCAGGAACTGAACGGACAAGAACATGGTGACGGTTGTGGACACTCGGCCATATTTGCTGAGGTTAGAGGGAACCTCTTACAAAGCTTTCTAAAGTCTAAGGTTCACTACAAAACTAACCTCAAGTTTTGTTCTTGCTATTAAAACAGTAAGCACAGTTTCTTAACATGTTGGCTGCCCCTTCCTTTTGGACATTAGTACATCAGTTTTATCACTACAGCTCCCTTCCCAGTCCGTGTGGCTCGGTCTTAATCAGCTACTGTGGAGGCTTTTGCTTTAAACTTGAAGTACTTGGCCTAGGAAACAGGGGTTTCCACTGCCCCAGTCCCTGCTTAACTGCTGAGATTTTGTTCACAAGAAGAAACTGTGTCTTCTGTAAAAGAGCTAAGCTCACCCAACAATGCATTTGCCTCTTGTTTTTAGTTTGGTTTTGTTTTTTTGTTTTGCATTTGCCTTTAAAATGTCACTCTGGTTAAAGAGGGACTGTTGTTTACTGTGACCTCTGATCTGATCTTGAATAAGTCTTTTAAACCTTTGACAATTTGCTGAAGTTCTCCAAATCAAATCATATATATGTCTATGTCCCATATGTATGTCTGGTATTCTCAGAGGCCAGAAGAGGGTTAGATCCCCTGGAACTGAAGTTACATACATGTAACTATGACACGTAACATGTATCATAGATGAGCTGCATGTGGATACTAAAATCAAATCAAATCAAAGATACTGCTGAGTCATCTCTCCAGTCCCCAAATATTTTTTCTTGACCATGAATTAATTAATTTACAGGTTTTCCAGATGTACCCTTGGAATACCTTTAAAAGATAATTCTCTTTACAAAAGCAGAGATATTCAATTAATTGGGCTAACTTGTTCTATTAAATTACATGGGAAATGTTGCTGAAAAGTAAGCAATACTATAATTTTTTTAGTTACTTTTGTAGGGGTGACTTACTAATGTGCCTCAGAAATAGGGTAACAGTCATAAAAATTCATGAATCATAATCCTGTTATCTTTAAGTGCTACATGCAAGAGTCAGGAACTGTGGCCTCCATTCCTAGTTGAACAGAAGGATGGACGACATCCTTTGGTCGACATGGGCAATACAAGATCCGTTGCATGGAAGTTGTGCGAGATAAACATAACTAACATGCCAAGGGCATCAGCATTTTAACTCCCATGAGGCCTTTGGCCATAGCCATTTTAAGTCTTGTCACCTACAGTTGTTTAGGATGGTACTTCGCCAAGGACATTCAAGAAAAAGACCTTCAAGTACAGGAAATCTGTGACTTTACGATTTTCTCCTGGCCTGGGTAGGAATTCCCAGACCCAGCGGCTCACAAACATCAAGCTGATGTTTAACCCAGCATCAAGCACAGTAAGAACTAAGTACCAAGGAATGACTTGGCAGATTCGCGTGCTAAGTTAGTCAGCGGTGAAATTATTAAGCGATGTAGTTTGAATGAACTCTGTAAGACTGATTCGAGCCTAATTACCTACCGTAATCTATGTAATGAACAGTTTTAGGCACCTGAAGTGGAAAGGCAGACCTGGTGTTTAAGGGGGTGGAGGCCCATTGCCAAGCATGGGCCCGGGGGAGCTTGGGCGTCTGCCTGGGGCCCTGGGGGTCTTTAAAGCTGTGACAAGAGCTCTGTTCTCTAAGACTCATCGTGGAGGAGCTGAAGTGACTCAAAGCATAACCAGACATCTGCGGATGGATATGAAAGAGGGCTCCGAGCCAATGCTTGCCTTTTCAAACCTTAATTTTGGTCCACACAATAAAGGTCTTAAGTAATATGTTCCCAGAGGCTGCGTGCCTTGAGCCCCTGTGAACCGATGTGTTCACCTGGCCTGCAGGACTGATTTCCCTACAGAAGCACTTTCCATACAGTGATAACGTGTGTGTGTGTGTGTGTGTGTGTGTGTGTGTGGTGTGTGCCTCTGTGTGTGTGGTGTGTGTGGTGTGTGCCTGTGTGTGTGTGTGTGTGGTGTGTGTGTGTGTGTATGTGGTGTGTGTGTGTGGTGTGTGTGTGTGTATGTGGTGTGTGTGTGGTGTGTGTGTGTGTGGTGTGTGCCTGTGTGTG